TATCTGCTAGAAAGAAAGAAAGAAAAAAAAAATATATATATATACATATATATAGAAGAACACAGAGCAATCTCTGTTCGGGACGCGGTTGACTGAAAGTAGCTGATGCGTCCGCGCGGTCCAAGCAATAGGACCAACTAATTATCGAGGTAGCGGAAGCGTCTCCCGTGTGTGCGGTCGGGATCCTCTTCCCTCATCAAACGCGTCCGCGACAGGGTTCAATGACGCCGTACGAGCTTTGAGAGAGGGAGAAAGAGCACCCGGTATGCATCGCGGTGAATGCGGAGTGTACGGAGGGTCTCGAAAGCCCGGCCGCGTTTCATCGATATCGTTCGCATAGGCTCACCTAGGACGGGTATCGAATCGATCTTACGCCGTCAGCGGTACCGCCGAGTTAACCCGGACTGCGAACCACCAAGAGACGCGAGCACACGCGAGCTGAATATCAATCGCGGGGATCAAATGCTTTTAAGGAACATCGCCGCGTTTGTGCTCGCGACTTCGTTGCTCGCTGTAAAACCGACCGGCGATCACGATCGATCGCTGTTGCGCGGCAAAAATCGATCGATCGATCGATCGATCGGGCGCACGTAAGCGCGATGCGTGTATTTTTGTCGGAAACGAGAAATATACTTTTCTTACTCAATTTTTGGATTTTCAAACAGAGGATGAAGAATTTGGAAAAAAAAAGTAATTCATAATTTTGCACCATTGTGACGTGTTGCTCGAAACACGCGTACACCGAAAAAATTATATTCTTGTAAGTAGAAGATTTTATACTTAAAAAATCTTCTTAAAGATTTTAGATGATATTCTTCTGAAATTAAGAATATATTCTTTATTTAAGAATATAGTCTTTTTCGATAGTGAGATATATATGTTTTTCTATATAGAAGCTTTTTATATTCTAATCAGTATATATTCTTATCAATATTACTATTTAGAGGATTTTCCTCTTAAAATAAGAAACTCTTCTTGGCGCCTATTTTAGTATAAAATATACTTAAAGTAAGTGGGATATCTCTTCAAAACAAGAATACAATTTTCTTGGTGTACGTTTATATATATATATACACCAAAAAAATTATATTCTTGTAAGTAGAAGATTTTACCCGAGTCGAAATTTAGCGTCTACATTGAACCTCAATTCCTCTTTTTTTATGTAGGAGTAAGAGAGAAAGTAGATCCTACTTTGACGCTGCTATACGTCCGAAATTTCCTTTTTTCCTGCTAAAGTTTTAAAGTAGGGTTTAATTCTCAGATCAGACTGCGCATTGCAGGCTCTGATAGGCTCAAAGTAGGAGTAAGAAAAAAAGTAGATGCTACTTTGACGCTGCTATACGTCCAAAATTTCCTTTTTTCAAAAATTGAGTTTCAATGTAGACGCTAAATTTCGACTCGGGTATATACTTAAAAAATCTTCTTAAAGAGTTTAGATGATATTCTTCCGAAATTAAGAATATATTCTTTATTTAAGAATATAGTCTTTTTCGATAGTCAGATATATATGTTTTTCTATAGAGGCTTTTTATATATTCTAATCAGTATATATTCTTATCAATATTACTATTTAGAGGATTTTCCTCTTAAAATAAGAAACTCTTCTTGGCGCCTATTTTAGTATAAAATATACTTAAAGTAAGTGGGATATCCTCAAAACAAGAATACAATTTTTTCGGTGTAAATATACATCATATTACGCAATTTTACAACCAAGCGCTCAGGAAACAATACGTGACATAATCGTAATTACACTCTGAAAAAAAAAATGCGACGAAAGATATATATCCAGATAATTTTTGTGAATGTCGGGTTTTCTATCTTGGAATATATATAAAATTGCGTGTGTATAGTAGATATAACGCGCGTTTTGTAAAAAAATTCTCAGACAAAATTATGCAGGTCTTTCCCGGAAACGCGATCGAATCAAAGTCAGGTACAAACGGTTCGTGAATTTACGGCGCGAGGAAAGGTTCGGCGCACGACCCCGAATATATAAAATATGCAATATTCTGCTTCCGGACAGCGGCGTGCGCGCGCGCTGAATCGACACGGTACTGTATGTACAAGTGTGTGTGTGTGTGTGTGTGTGTATGTGTGTGTCGGACGCTCTTTCTGCGCGATCCGGTATAAGTAAATTGCACCCGCGGAGGAAAGAGATAGATCAGACGCGCGTTCGGCACACGCTCCGTCACGTGACCGGGGCGGGAGGGGTGAGCGTGTCCTCGTACTTGTTTCTCATTATTGCGCGCGAGGCATATACGAGGTATAATTTCGCCTTGGGTCAACCTCTGACCGGTGGAAACGCGGACAAACTGACCCGAGGGAATAGCCGTCGTCTCCCCTACTCTGACTTTTCCTCATTTTATCGGTGATCTTTCGGAGTGAGAACGCGGATATATACCGTCGCACATTATTTCTCGCTAATTGGCGAAAACGAGCGCGTCCAATGAAGAAACTCTTTTTCGAGTTTTTGAAAAATTTTCAAATTCATCTTCTCTTTACGTCCGACTTTAAGATCAGCAAATAATTTGATTTCGAGTACTACTGTGTGTTGTAATTATTTGTGTTTTTCAATCGTCAAATTTTCATTCGCACACATTTCGTCGCAACGCAAACATTTGCATGGCAACGAAATAAACCGTGTGGGTGTCGACACGGAAGTGAAAAAATAAGCAGCTAATTAGGTGATGTTTGATCTTGAAGAGAGCCGAGACAAACTTAGGCGCGCGCTAGGGCGGATGTCTCGGCAACGAAGGCGATGGAGTGGCGGAGAGTTTCGCGATGAACTCAAGAGAGAGAATCGGGAGAGGGCGGAAAGGAGGGTGGCGAAGGTGGCCAAGCAACGGGTGGGTTACGAGGGGCGATGGCTCAAGGATAGAGATCGCCGAGACGGAAGAAGGCGTAAGAGAGAAAGAGAGAGAGAGACGAAAAGAGAGAAGAGGGAAAGAGAGAAAGCGCGAGGGGGAGGGAGATGAGTTGCGAGAGAGGACGAGGACAGGGTGAGAGGACGGAAAGGACGCGGGGGCGGATGAAAGGACGCTTACTAGCTACTACCTATTGATCGCCAATTCTTTTTCTCTTGTTGCATATTAGGCGCACTCTCTTCCTTCTTTCTCCTTCTCCTTCCCTCTCGCTTGCTCGTGCCCGCGCGCGCTTTCTGTCTCTCTTCGCCCGATGCGCGGCTCACCCCCCCGTTGCGTCTCGCAGCCAACCTGCCCCCTCGCGGTCGTAGAACGCGCGAATCCGCCCCTATAGCCACCCTCCCGCGTCCCTCCTGCACTTCCTCTTGCACCTCAGCCGCCTCCTCTGCCTCTCTGCTCGTGTCGCCTCACCGCGCGAGAGAGTGCAAGCCGCCCCTACCGCCCATCTACTACCTACCTACCTACCTACCTACCTACCTACCTACCTACCTACCTACCTACCTATCTACCTACCTACCTACCTACCTACCTACCTACCTACCTACCTACACCGACGACTCCGACGCTCTTCTTAACGGCAATGTTTCATTTCGAGCAGTACCCTTCCTGTTTCGGGATGGGGCCGACGGCCGTCCACTAAGTTTTTTTTTTCACGCAGGTGCGCGACGGGAAAGATCTCGCTGGGTGTATAGTCTTTTAAGCACAGAGTGGACACGGTTGAAGGGGGGTTTCGTTACGTGGCTAAGTAGAACGTAAGAAGTTTAACTTCTCAAGTCTTCTTGAGAGAGAGTGCAAACATGTAATGCGATACCTTCGGCAGAGGTATCTCTTCTTCGTAAAAAAAAAAAAAAAAAAAAAAAAAACGAGAAGAAGAGAAATCTTCGATACTCGAAATAGCCTCGCAATCGCACATCCATTCTGACCACGCGCTCTTCGATTTCTGTTTCAGATAGCAACCAGCGATCTGCGAGCGTCTTCACACAAGAGAATTTGGCGGAAGAAAAGGGAGAGGACCCCCTCTCGCGCGTGCGAGAGGTGCGCACACACGCAACATAACACACACACGCGCGGCGGATCGGAAGAAGCAGGAAGAAGGGAGGGAGGGCGGTAGGGTGGCTAGAGGGATAGAGAGATAAAAGAGAGAGGGATAGGACACACGCCGGCGGCGACAGACTGCACTCTCGTGGCGCTCACAGGGCGCAAGCGTGCACGTGTGTTGTGCGTTTCACTGTGCTCTAACCCTGTCCCGCTACCTGGGAGGAGTAGCGTGGTCGTCGTCCCTCCGCGGCTACATCCCCACTTTGCCGCCCCCGTTGCCGCCGTTGCCGCCACCGCCAGCGACACCGACGCCGACGCCGCCGTCGGCTTGCCATCCCTCCGACGCTCGCGGAGGAGAAGCGCGCCGCGCCACGGCCGACGAAACGACGACGGCGACGACGACGACGACGACGACGACGACAGCAGCAGCAGCAGCAGCAGCAACAGCAGTAGGGCCCCCACCACCGCTATCACTACAAACGCTGCTTTTACTACCATCGCGCTACCGGCAACTCGCGACGACGACGACGACGACAACAATAACAACAACAACAACGACGACGACGACGACGACGACAACGACGAAGACGAAGACGAGGACGAAGACGAGGACGAGGCCGATAGTGACTTCGGTCGCTCTTTACGACGTGTTACGTCACGCGTGACGTCGCACCCGGCAGCGCGCACGTTAGCGCGCGGCGACGTGTACACGCGCTTAAATATAACCCCTTTCTCTCACGCACGTCTCACGCTCACGTCGCGCGCTGAAATACAGAGAAACAGAAAGAGGAGGGCGCACAGAACACAGAAGGGGATATTCGACGGAACGTTGGTGGGAGCGACGTAGGGCGAAAGGAGAAAATCGGAAAGAGAGGCGCGGGAAGGGAAACTAGGACCGACTAGGGGAGAAAGGGGGCGCAAGAAAGCAGGAAGGAGGGAGGAGGAGGAGGAGGGTGACAGGAGAACGAGACGACGAGGGCGACAACGGCGACGACGACACGGAGGACGGAGGAGCGCCGGCGGTGGAGGGGGTGGACATCCACGCGGGAACACGAGGCAGGCGCACCCGGCCGGCACGCGCACACACATCCTAAGATGTGATTTCAAAAATGGCGGATTGCCCCTATGCCCGCTGCATACAGGAACGCAGACATATCCGACGGGAGCTGCTGCGATGGACAAAGAATATGGTCTTCGTAGTCGGTAAGTAAAGAGAATCTAGAGAGAAAGAGAGAAAGAGAGAGAGAGAGTCGTCGTTCGTTCTCTCGGTCTCTCGCGTAATAAACGGCGACGAACACGCGTAGACGCATCGTTCGTGCGTAAAATTGTTCCGTGCGTGTAAACGCACTTCCCAAATCTTGAGCGACCAAACTGGTGGCCAATTGTTCGCGATGAAGAGCGAACATAGTCGCGAATAGAACAGAAAAAGATATGCGATGTCACCGCGAACGTGCCTGTTGCGTGTGTTTGTGTTTGTGTGTGTGTCATGACAAGAATGGTATGTGCATCAGCTGTGGTGCGAGTGTAAGTCGTGTGCAGGTACGCACAGGTTTGCCTACGTTCCGCATGGTAAGTTTCTCTGTGTGCCGAGAGTACATAGCGTGTGGGAGTGAGTTGTGTCTGGCAGTGTGTGCGAACGTGGAAAGAGCGAGCGAGAGAGAGAGAGAGAGAGAGACGGTAGGAAAGAGAGGATGGGACGAGAAAGAGAGCGAGAGAGAGAGAGAGGGAGAGAGGAGAGAGAGAGAAAGAGAAAACACGCTAGTGGTTGAGACCTGTTGCGAACCGAAACGCCGAATCCTGGCTGACTATGTGCCAGGCGTGACTCCTACTCGCGCCTGTACGTTCAACAGGGTGGTACCACGTTGCCGGAAAATCCGATAATATTCTGCGAGTAGTTTCCCGTGCGGTTTCAAGTTTTCGTGCGTGCGCGAATTGAGAAACCGCTTCTCTCTCTCTCTCTCTCTCTCTCTCTCTGATCATCCGTTTAACGAAAAAATTAACTTACGGTTCTTCCCCGGGTGTGTTTCTGTGACAATCGCGTCTCGCAATCGCGCAATTATACGATTTCGAAATTATCGAATGCAATCGACGCAATCCGTGCGCGTCATTGTCAGATAGTTTGTATAATTATTTACAGTGATTTAGAGTTTTCCGCAAATATTCCCGATATGTATATATATATATATATATATATGTATATATAATTTTTTTTTATTTTTTAAAATCACGTTTCTGTGAATAGATAATTGTTCCTTATTCTGAGAAACGGGCAATCGATACCCGGTCTATATATAAAGTTCGCGTTCTGCATGCTTCCACCGCGCGGTGATCTGATTGATCCGATACCTGGAACGAACTTAGCGACGGAGAAATAAAAATTTGATGCCAGCTTTTTTATGCCGAAAGACATACGGTATAATTTGGTATTCATTGAAGTTAGAGCATATGCAATATACTCGCGACACGCTCGAAAGCTGAATTATCATAGATCGAACATTTCGACATATAGATTTTTCACGAAGAAGTTTGCTTTTCAAACATATATATATATGGACCGTTTATTTTGAAAGTAAGTGTAAGTCCATTTTCTTTTGTTTCGAGAAACTAGTTGTACATAAAAAAATTTACATTAAATTAAGCATGAATTACGTGATATCTCATTTTTCTTTCAAAAATGGACTTACACCACTTTCAAAATAAACGGTCCGTATATATAAATAGTTACAAATTAATTTTGACAGTTAAAAATAATTTTCTATGTCTCTTCGAGTTTGTTTTATCGTATAATAAACACTTTTCCCATCAATTTAATATCTTTCGAGATCTCTCATCGGAGACAAGAACAAAAGGGTCAATGTGGCGTTTGTTATCGCTTGCGAGAAAGTTCTCGAAAAAGCTGTGGAAGAAGAATTAGGCGTCGCGTGTGCAATTTTCCGTGCAGGGAAGAAGGGTGGCGAAATCAGGCTCGCGAGACAGACTCCAACCCCCTCCGTCTGCCCGCCCTTCCACATCGGCGGCGCTTACCCCTCGGTCGGTGCCGGTCGAGGGGTGGAACGGGAGAACGTCGTCAGACGCGCAGAGAATACTGCACAAGCTGCGTGCCTTGACCACAGACAACCGAGCGCGATCCCGGCCGCCGCCCGAAACCTTCTTTTCTTCTTCTTACGGCTTTCCCATCCTCCTTCCCCGATCCCCGTCTCACCCTCGGCGGTCGCGCCGTCGCCGTCGCCCCACCACCCCTCTCCTCCTCCTCCTCCTTTTCCCCGACTTCCCCTCCTTCGCCTTTCGGTTAGTTCGTCAAGGGGCGAGCTCCGGTACTCACGGAAGGCACGTTTCCGCACGCGTCGGTGTGTTGCGTGCACTCGCCGTTACGCTTCTTCCTCCACTTTTGTGACCTCTCCCTGCCTCTCCTCGCCTTCCCTCCTTCGAAGCCCCTTTCGCCCTCGGTGGTTCTCTCTTTTCCTCCTTTTCTTCCCCCGCTTTCTCCGTCGTCATCGTCGTCGTCGTCGTCGTCGTTGTCGTCGTCGTCGTCGTCGTTGTCGTCGTCGTCGTCGTCGTTGCCGTCGTCGTCGCCGCCGCCGCCACCTCTCGTTCGCGTCGCTCTTCATTTCGGAACGCAGCTGCCGCTGGTGGTCGAGAAATTTTCGCGAATCCTTCCTCGAGGCGCTCACCTTCCGCCCCTCTCTTTCACCCCGGCGCGTCCTGTCCTCCTTCGCGACGACCCCAACCGCCCCTTCTTTCGTTCTTTCATCTCCTATCTCATCTTCGTTCTCTTCGCGGCGAAGAGAGATCCTAAAAAAAAGGAGGCCGAGCAGTGGAAGTTCGACGAAGAACGGAAAAAAGGAGGACCGGCGGGGTCGGGCGGGGGATGGAAACGAGGACGGCGGGGGAGGGGGGGAAGGGGAGGAGGAGGAGAGAACGACACGAGTTGCGTGTGTGCGCCGCGTTCTTCTGCCTCTCTCTCGGGTTCTACCCGAGACTTCCGCGATCTTGGAGGATCGACCAGTGCGCGTTCGGGAAAGGGTGACGGAGGGTGGAACCGGCTTTCGAAATCTCGTCGCGTCGCTTGTGCTTCTCCGAGTGTGTGATATACGCGCGCGGGCGGTCGCACGTCCCGCGACGTGTATCGGGCGGTCCGCGTCGTCGGTAGTCGCGGGGGTGACATCCGTTTTGGCTGTGACGGCGCGTCACGGACACGTCAAGGACCGCGCGTGATCCGAAGGAGAGAGAGAGAGACGAAGGGAAGTGGTCTGACGCGCGCGGTGAGAGCGAGAGATCGTCGAAGGTGAAACAATCGGAGATAAACGTATAAGTTTAGTGGTTGTCCTGAACGAACGCGAAATGAAGTTTTGTTCACTTCACAGTCAGGAGGAGAGATGTCGGTTTAATAATTGAGTGAATTCCGAAGATAAGCGCGGAGATAGAGAAGAAGATCGCCGTTGAAATCGGGGGAAAAAAAAAAAAAAAACTGTTGCTTTCCGCAGCGGGAAGAAGCGGCGGAGAATTCTTCGTCTTCTCGCGCCTCAACGCGCGAGTGTAGCAGTTACACCTGTTACGCGCGCGCGTTCATCGGTGGCCGCCGATATCTCGCGATAAGTTTCGGGGAGAGTGTTGCCGCGAATGCGAGAGAGCGCGCGAAGGGGAAGACTCGCTCACAACTCTCCGGGGGAGAGAGAGACTCGGTGATCGTCACGCACCGTCGTAATCCCCGGCGTCGGCTCGCACGCACGTAAATCGCGCGGACACCCATCGAGAGAGAGCGGACATGGAATTGGACGTAATAATGAAGCCTCTTCCTCCGCGTTGCCCCGTTGCGCCGAGTTTTCGCGGCACCGAGGAGCAGACGAGAGCCGACGGGGCGTCGTCGCGATCTCGCGTGGGCCACGAGTCACGCCGGTTGTTGTAACACGATGTCGCTCGTGAACTGCGTAACTGACTAACGTCGTACGAAACTGTCGCACGACACAGGATTCGCGGATTCGCCGAGCGTGAACACGCGGAAGTGGATCGACGTAACTTAGGTAAAAAGAGAGAAGATATATATATATATATATATATATCCCTTCGCGGGGTTTTTCTTTCCGCGTTGTCCCCAACGCGCGCGCAGGGTTGCGTGGCAACGCGCGGCACGTGCGCGATTAGAAGTGTAAGAGCGAAGAGAGTTTGTTCCTCTCTCGCGCGCTTAGGAGAGATTGATTTTATGTAACCCGCAAAGTGTCTCTCTCTCTCTCTAGGGGCGAACCAGAATTGGAATGAATTTTTTTTAACCAAAAACCCTGATGCTGTAGAAAATAGAGAACGTAACAGAGATTAAGTCTTTCTCTCATTGCATTCTCACGGAGTCAATTCGCAATTAAAAAAAGTTTTTTTCCAAGAGAATGGAATAAAGAGAATTGAAGCATAGAAATTGTAGCCGAGAAGAACGTTATTACAAGAATTTTTATGCGTCACGCGTATACTCTTATTGTCGCTGGAAGTAGGAAACTATTATAGCGCGCTGATAAAAAAAGAAAAAAAAAGAACAAAGTTTTGCGAAACGACATCGCGATTTTGTCCGCGAAGTTGAAAACTATTATTACCTCCCCGTTTCGGAATGTCAGAAAACGGCGAAGGTTCATCGCCGTCCCGGCGCACTTGACTTTCATTCATGCGAGAGGCATAGATTATGCGAGCATGCGCTTTCCCGAGGTAGAGAGACACCGCATCCGGTAATATTTCATTGTCTGGAAACGTAAGATTTATTAGAGGATACAACTTTATATGAAAGATGTAGATGTTAATAAGTTCTTCTACGAGCTGAAGTATGTACGAGAAGGCTTTTTTCAAATAGGCGATAGCTATATCTCACGAGAGATTTGAAACTTGAGCCCCCCCCGGTCAAGATAAGATACCCCGCCGCGCGGCATCATTTCCGATTAAGCTCGATTACTTCCCGTATTCGTGACGGAGAGGCATATTACAAACGAAAACCGGACGCGGAGAGAAACTCGCGGAGGGCAATATATATATATATATATATCTGCTCGACTCGCGCGCGTATCATCATCCCCCGTTTTCATTGTTCAGCCGCATCCGCTCCGTTTCCCGAAAAGGCACGGCAAAAGGCGAGGCGGGTTGTGCGAGCAAAGGGGGGTGGCGGATGGGTGCAGTTACTGCTGATCGTTAAAAGGCGCATAAAAAAAGGGAGAGGAGAAGGCGTTGGG